GCTACAGAAGAAACTGGAGACACTACAAAGAGGACACTCTGACCTTCAGAGAGACCATTCAGACCTGCAGAGAAACTACAGCAATGTAACCAGAAGCTGTCGACTTACACAGAGCTCCAAGACGGGTGAGCCACATCCATCCTTTTTCTAACCACCTCATCCAATTCCGGATTGCAGGGAAGATGGATCCTATTTCAGCAAGCAATAGGCCCCAGGATACACTCTGTAAGGGACACCAGCCCATCACAGGGAAGACAGATACTATACAAATACAAACACATTTCACACCTAGGCCAATCTTCCAAGAAGTCAGTTAACCTACCCCTATGTCTTTGGACTATGGGAGGAATCTGGAGCACCCAAAGGATACCCACGCAAACATGGGGATAATCCACAAACTGCACATTTGAATTCAAGACCTCAGCGCTGCGAAACAGCATTGGTCACAATTTGACACTGGGCTGCCCCTGATGAGTAAAAGTTTCTCAATATTCACCTAGTATATTTCGGCAGCGATTAATATGCCTCATACGGTACATACACATTAAATTTATTTCCATATGGAAAAATAATTTACTTTTCATGAACACACCCTAAACAAGCATTTAGGTGCTATTTTACTGTTGCCAAAGTTACAATCATGCTCTCTGCTTGAATAAGGATTAAATTGAAAATATGTCTTATCTTGCACTAAAATGTGTTTTTTGTCACCCAGAGCTACAGAAGAAATTGGAAGATGAAGAAGCTGAGAACTCCAGACTACAGCATCTCTACAGCAGCATGAAGGCCAACTATCTCCCCATAGAGATGTGCTTCCTCAGTGACACCAACAAGACCGGTAAATCACTACGTTATTAATTTGATCTGTATTACTCCGTGTATGTTTGTGAGAAAGAGAATACCCCAACTCCCATCAGCTCACTAAAGTATCAATACTAGGCTTCAGTCTTCTCTTCCCAAAATTATTTGCACAGGAACCCTTCCAGCAATAACATCCCACCAATCAGTTCATTTTATAGGAGAGTTATGAGCACTTGCTCCACATGGCCAAGTTGCAATCTTTCAAGACAAGTGGGTTAAAGCCAATTGGGTATATACTGTACACGGAGAAATCAGACCTTTCTTGACACCAGTCTTCAGCCAAGCATCCTTCTACCAATCCCACTAGACCACCGATGTGTCTGTCCCATTGTTAATTTGTAGGAGAGTTCTGACTGGATAAGTAACATGGCTAAGCTATTGTTCCTCAAGCCAAGCATTGTAAAGCCTTAAAGCTTTGTGTGAATAATTCAAATGTGACACCTTTTCCTGAAAAACCACAGGATGAACAGTCAACACCACAAAAACTGAAGTGATTTTATTTGTATTTTTGTAATTCTGAAAAGACAGACTTTATGCCCACTTACTGTCAATGTTCTTTTATTTCAGTCAGACGTGTGTTTTCTGAGTATTCAAGTAAGTTGGTTTTATTCGAAATACTTATTTTAATTTCAGTTATAGTTTTAACACAGCTTTTATATTAATATTAGGTCATAACCCAAAGCACATTATAAAACAGAAACAGTAAAACTAGGGTTAAGACATTTTTCCAGATCACAGCTATGTGGAAAATGTTAGTAATCTCTCAATAGAAACATTGTATATATGATATTGGCATGAAGGTCTGAGGGACAGGGAAAGGAAATGGTTGGATGAGCATGAAAACCATGCCAAGGCCACCCCAGTCACCCGATCTCAACCCCATTGAACGCTTATGGGAGATTCTGGAGTGAGAATTTTCCACCACCATCAACAAAAACATTCATCTCATTCTTTCATGAGAACACAAATGATGGTTTTCTCTTGAAAATATGGTGTCCAGTACAGTTCCATTCACTTGTAGAATCTATGTCAAGTTGCGTAGCTGCTCGTTGTTGGCCCACCACCCTATTAAGATACTTTGTCAGTGTTTCTTTTATTTCGACAGTGACCTGTAAGTAAAAACACAGAGTAAAATAATGAAGAAGTATTATTAATATATTCAGTAAGTGCCGATTTTCTTCACAACAGGAAAGGAAGGAGTTACCCCCATACCAGGTAACAA